CATCTGCAGTTGGTAAGCTGGAGACCCAGGAGAACGTACGGTATAGTTCCAGTCAAAGGCCTGCAGACTTGAGACCCAAGAGGAGCCAGTATTTCAGTTAGAGTTCAAAGGCAGGAAAATACCAATGTCTCAGTTGAGGTCATCATGTGGAAAGAATTTAGTTCTACCCAGTCTTTTTGTCCTAGTCAGGCCTTCAGCTGATTGGATAAGGCCCACCCACATTAGGAAGGCAGTCTGCTTTACTCAATCTATGATTCAACTGTTAATCTCATCTAGAAATATTCTTACACACATACCTAGAATAATGTTTAACCGAATGTCTAGGCATCCTGTGGCCCAGTTAAGTTGACATAAAATAAACCATCACAAAGACTAGGAAATTGTGTTTGTGGACAAGTTTATTAGACAAAAATTATTGACACAATAACATGTAGATTGAGTGGGGAGCAGGGCTTCTAACTAGAGTGAATGCATTCTAAATTCCTTAGACTCAGAGGAGATATGATTAGATACATACAGAGGAGATATGATTAGATTAGATATTGTTCAGTTTAGAAAATTTTTTGAGAGGACTATTAAAGTAGATATAAATTGTATTATTACAAATGAATAAAGAGAGAAAGGGAGAATCAAGGAAACTTAATCAACTGGAAGGTAGTAAAGAGAAAGAGAGAAGGGAAGAGAACGGTTAGCAGAAAATGGGAAAAAAAGGGTAGAAATAAGTTTGAATATTTCAATTACAACTGGATTAAACTCACTGTTTAAAAAGCAGAGATTTTCTAAATTAAATAGATAAACGCTATTTATAAGAGCCATACCTATGACTTAATGATACAGTAAATTTCAAAGTAAAGAAATGGAACAGCAAATATATCAGGCATATACTTTCCAAAAGAAAAGTAGTACAGCAGTATTACCACTAGATAACATTAAGACCAAAAACAAAAAAGGAAGAGAAAGTCATGACTTAATACCAAAAGACATAATTTCCAAGAAGTATATATAAAACAATGAATCCATGCACCTAACAGTTAAGCCCCCTAACATAGAAAGCAAACATTGACAAAATTATAAAGAGAAACTGACAAATCCGCAGTAGTATTAGATGACTATTTTAAATCTAGTTTGGAAAAATTAATAAGAACATAGAAGATTTGAATAATATAATTAAAAATCTTGACTTACTTGACATACCTGAATCCTGTACTTCAAAAATAGGAGCTTTATTATTTTTAAGACATATAAAACATTTGTAAAAATTGGTTGCATGTAAAAACATGAAGTCAGATACTCCCAAATTAATATAAACATTACATACTTTGACCACAATATAATCAATTTAGAAATAAAAGATTGAAATAAGTTTTTAAATAATTTATGGATCAAATATGTAATCATAATGGAAGCTATAAAATATTTATAAATGACAACAAAACTTGTGACATAGAGCTAAAGCAAAATGTAGAGGAAAAATTATAGCCCTAAAAAGTCTATGTTAAAAGATTGAAATTTTCTTTAATAAAAACAGTAACTTAGTAAAAGAATAATGTAGCAAGCTCAATGTAGAAAGCAGGAAATAATGATCACAAAAAGATAAATGAAATTTGAAGAAATGGACCAGTAGAATCAACCAAACCAAAATTTGGTTTCTCGAAAATACTAATAAAACAAACCAACCTGATACATTTTAAGTTTGCGCAAACTAATATTAGAATATTTAAAGCTAATTGCAGATCCAGAAATTAAATCAAAATGCTGTGTTTATGGATATTTATTATATTAGGCTCCTGACTTCTTTATGTTAGGAATATTTTACAGTAAAAAGATCATAATCTTTACTTAGGCGTTATGCCTTAGTCCAGGCATTGTCTACTACCTGTCCTCTGTAGCTTTAGCAGGTACCAGCTCTCTCCTGTTCTTGTGCATCTAGGTCCAAGGGACTCATGCATTCCTTCTTTGTACATGCTTGGTAGAAAGTTGAAATCTTGGCAGTTGAAGCAGTGGTGGGCTAAATTGTGAAATCAACAGAATGAATGCCTTCAGCAAAGGTTACGGAAAATAAACTCCTGTCCACATATGGTGAGAAAAGGTGGGTGAAAATTGGAAAGAGGTAATTACTGGCCTAGGGACAGCTTCCATGAAAGGCACAGGCTTCCTTGAGGCCTTTCATCCCCAGCCCTCCTAACATTGTCCAATTGCTTTTCCTTATCTGGTTGATATTATTGTTCATCCCTTTGGCCGTTCCTAAGCTTCAGAATACACATGCAAAAGTAAGTTTGTACTCTCTGGCTTTATTTGAGATGTAGATATACTTTTGTGAAGCCTGAGTGTAAAGGTCCGCAAATGAAGGGCCAACGTGTCTTGGGTCTCTGGACCCAAGGCCTTGCGTTCCTATTAGCACTTTCTCTCCTGCTCAAAAAAGCAGCAGGGTGCAAGAAAGAGACGTTTTGTTGAGTTTAAAATGTGGACTCGATGTATAGTTTTCACTATTCAATTTAAAATGACTGACTTCCTCTCACAAGCTTCCTTTGATTTGAATAGTGTTCTATTCAATACATTCAAAGTTTTTAAAAAAGTTTATTGGGTATGATTCTTAATTCTGATAAGCACACTATTCTAAAATTTATATTGTGAGGGAAATTGTGATGTCATCAGTTTCTTTTTTCTTTAATATTTCCCTTTCTTCCCTCATAAAATAAATGACCTAATTTTCTAATGTCCGAGAGTATTGTCCCTCTTCTTTTTTAAAAAGAGACTTTGTTTTATGATTTTAGCTGTGAGTCTGCATATAGTTTGTTATGAAGTCAGTAATTTTCCATAGGATAACATTTTGGGATGCCATCTGGCCATTTATACATTAATAATCTTTTTTTTGCAGGGGTATGAGAGTTAGCAGTGTAGCATCTTAGCAATGACTGGGTTCATCTGGAGAAGGTGTTGCTTCCTTGAGATGCTAATGGTATTATGGGTAACCTAAAAAAAATGTATCTGCCCTTACTACCTGGTGACTGAGTAGCAGATCAGAGAGCATACCCTTAGAGAAGGTGACCAAATGCATCAGCACTGTTCTGGTTCCCTCTGACTGGCCAGACCTTAAAATTAAGTTGGCAGAGGGAATGCAGTTAGCATTAATATGATAGCTAGGTGGAGGGCCACGGGACGGAGAGAGCAATTGGGAGGATCATTATGAACTGTATAGATGTCTAACCAAGGTACTGTATACTTGAAACTAATTTAAATAAATTAATTTTTAAGTAATCAATCAATTAATTAATTAATTAAGTTGAGAAAACTGAGCGAGTTTACCAGGTACATTACTATCTACTGAACACTATTGTTGCAATAATCTATTTTACAAGAAGATGATTTGCTGTTTCATATTCCCAGTCTTTGTACCGCCTAACCATGATAATTTGTTTCAGAAATCATTAAGTTCAACTTAAGTTTATATGAAGCAAATGCCTAAACCTGATTTGGTTCTATTACTTAAACTTTAACAAAGTAAATAGTAAATAACAAAATAAATGTTCCAGTTATTTTTTCTAGAGACTCACACGGAAATCTTAAAGGTAGTCAGCTTAGATAATATTATCACTTTCTGCAGATGAAGACATTGAATTTGAGAGGCTCCATAACATGCCCAGGTCACAGAACTAGTTGTAGAGATAGAGCTGGGTAGGCTTCTCGGGTGATGATGCTCATTTGGGATTCCTCTTTCAGTGCAAACATGTTTACGAATGGCTATTAAGTACTTAAACATTACTATAGGCATGCAGTTATGCGACTAAAAATAGGAAATAATTAAAATAATTGTACTTCATTTTTTCTTTGTGGACTCAGTACTATGCTTAAATGAGAAAGATGTAATTTTCTTATTTCTTTCCACGGTGTTTACTAACATTGATCATATCTGTCAGTGTTCTTATGGTACTAAACTTGATTAAAAAAAATAATAATAATCTGAAAAAAAAAAAAGGCCAAAAATTATCTCAGAATCTGAATGATGTATATCTACGGTCTGTGTTCATTCTATTAACAAGCTAATTATTTAATATGCATTTTAGATTTTGCTTGTATGGACCAGACCTTAAGCCATTTTGCTAAATATTTGAGAAAGATTCCACAGGAGTACCTCAAAGATTAGATTCCTAGGCAACACCTGACTTAGCTTCAGTCTAGAGATTTGCCTTCCTTCCATGAAAGGGAAGAGGAGTGCTGGCCACGTTGGCTTTCACATGCCTGCAGTAAACAGCGAGGGTAGGATCTCCTGTCTCAGTTTTCAAAGAATGTGATCTGATACAGTCTTCATCAGAGGCCTCCCGTAGCCTCTTCTTCTATGACAGTTCAGTAAGTTGCAATTGGATATGATGAGATATATTTTGGAAGAAAAATTCATATGTAAATATAAATGTGTATATATTTTTTATTTATTTGAGATTCCCTTGTCAGTTATTTTACCTACTTTTCTCACCTGTAAAATGGACATAACATCTTTTGGCAGGTGATGAGAATTATTTTAGAAAGGTTTAGAATTCAGAGATGCTTTCTTGGCTGAAAGTTATTTTTATTGTTATCGTTGAAGTCTTTGAATCTGACCTGCCTTCACTAAGCTCTCCAGGTTCATGTGCTTGGTTATAAAATACCTACCTGCAAAAGGTAAATATTTTCTTCTTCGATTGTCTTTGTTGTGTTTTTTTCCCAAGTAGGATTTTCCAAAGCTAATTTATTTGCGAAGAGACATATGCTTTAGGTCTGTACTTGTTAATTTACCTCGGAAAAATTAGGTCATCTTTAAATCTGGCAGTGTGGCTTAAAAACTTGGCAAAATGGTCTAATTAAAAGCTTCCTTCAGATTTAAAAAAAAGAAAACATGATTAGTAACAGTAGTTTTCATTTTCATTTTCATGCTTTGTGTATATATAGGTATATATCACTTCTCATGCTGCATTAAAAAAAGTATGTTGACTGTCTGCTAACAGTTCATCTCTTTTCTTCTACAGCCTCCAAGTCTGTTATAAATAGTATGCTGCGGGACCCTTCTCAGATTCCAGATGGAGTTCTAGCAAATCAGGTCTATCAGGTATTAATCACAGCTGTCTATTTTCAGTGGCAGTGCTGTTATCTGCCTAGCAGAGTAAAGGATTTTAAACCTCATTTAATTACTGTCATCATAAACTATCACTGAGGTCAGGGTGCACCATAAATGGCAATGCAATATTTGTGAGAGGAGCATTTCACTTTTTAATAGCTTGCTTTTATAGTGAATAAAAAGCATGCAATTTTTGTTTTCTGTGATTGAATCTGAACAGCCTTTTGATAGCTTTTAAAAAAATTAAGGAAAGTGATTACTGCATTTAGGATGTTGTTTAACTGTAATAGTTTTTGTGGTCATCTCACCCCAGAAACCTTCTCTTATTTGTCTGCAGTGCATTGTGAACGACTGCTGTTATGGACCACTGGTGGACTGCATCAAACAGTATCCTTTCCCATAAAATTTTAGGTGCACAATTGACGAGCTTAGACTTCGTGGAGGAGATATGTCTAGCTTTAACCTGACATAAAGTTCTGCTTCACAAAACCCATTTCATACTCTTCTATTTTACATTCAATCAGCTGGAGGGTCACTGCAGACCGTTCTTTCCTACAGTTTAAGAGAAACCAGATAGGCCACGGGAAGATGTCAGTTCAGCAGCTGCGCATTCACATGCTTATTTCAAACTGCTTGGTTTTCAATGGATTTAAAGGTACAGAGTCATTAGGCAGGTAACATACTGTCTTAGAATGTATCTAACCATTCCAATGAGTATTTTTAAAAATGTAACAAATATCTATTTAAATTGATCCAAATTCAGTTGAGTTTGCTAGAATAAATTTTGAGCCTAAAGTGAAAGAATGATGTGATTAAAATGTTGCCAGAGACCATCACATTTTTAAAGGCAGTGGACTCTTATTGCTTAAATGCCGATTACAACCTGAGCTGTCATTTTGATCCCTAATAAACATTTTTAGAGAAATCAAACTAATTTTTCCCTCTGGACTGAATTTAAGGCTATGAAAACAGATGCCCAGTCATTTATTAAAAACACTGAAATTACGAAAAAGTTAACATTTACTTCTTAAAACAGGATTTGAATGGACAGTAACTACTCCATGATGGAGGACATTATCCATCAATACATTTAGTAGTGTGGCATCCCTAAGAATATTGATGACCCTTGGCTAAAAATGCTCTTTAAAGAGTAAATAATTAGTAATTTTTAAAATAAAAATTATATGTCTATGAGTCAGTAACACAATTCTTAAGGGCATGCTTTCTGGTGTAGGTTTTTTTCTCATGGGTGGCACCGTGACCAGTTGTGACTTGGTGACCAGTTGTATCTTGGAAGCCCTCTCTAGTCAAGTGTGTGTGTTTATATTCTACCTTGTTTCATAAGGGCTTAAAGTCAGTAAAATTTTTGTAAAAATAAAATCTTTTTTTTTTCATAAAGTTAGCCTTTGAAAAATATTATTGTAATATGGGCCTCTTATAAGAATATTCAGTACCTGCGTTATAGCCCTTTATATACTTAGGTTCTCCAAGTCTGTTCCCCCAATCTAACTTAATAAAATCACAGCATTGTCATAAGCTTACCTTTTTATTAGACCAAAATAAAACTATACTTTTATTTCCAGTGTAAAATTAACCATAGCGTTCAAAACTGTAGGAACACCAGCCTCATGTTGCTGCAGCGAAATTTAGCACATTCGTATAACAACTAACACCAACGCAGAGTATCTGGGGCGGAATTACATGTTAATTTTAAAGCACATAAAATAGTTAAAAATCAATTTAAAGTTAAGATTTTAAAAGCATAATGTCTTTTGAAGGATTGCTTATTGATTTTAAATATAACTATCCAATTATATATGCATGGACTAAAGTATGAAGTCAACTGCTTTGTAAATGCCAGGAGGCTATTTTTCAGTAATAGTTGAGATGCTTACGGGAAACTAGAATGCTGTATTGCTGGCGAAGAAAATGGCTTGTGAGGTTATTTACAAGTTTTGCCCCATGGTCACTGCCATACATCAATAATAGGTATTATTATAGACAAACTCTAAGTGTTTCTGCTTATGGAGCATTATAAATTCTGTTTGGAGTATTTTCCTTATATTTTGCCATCATTCACTTTCCTTTTTTGGCTGTTATTGCCAGCAGAATTTAATGTAGTACATGATTTCAATTGATAAAGATAGTGATGTATGTCTATAAATTGTATTCGCTGACTAGATTATAATTTTGCAGTTCTATTATTATGCCTATTGCCAGTAAAATTACTGTTTTTACAAGCTTTATTTTCTAGGCCTTATATCTTATATATGTTTATATCAAGCAAAGCATAATGAAAAAGCATATCTTTCCAAAATTGTAAATCGGTGATTGCTTTTACCATGCAAAATAAAACAGGCTGGGAAGTTTATAGAGCACTGATTTTATCTTTGTATTGAGGTAGTAGCAGTTTTATATAATGTAAATACACTTGCATAGATGTTTCCTGGACTGATCAACAGGAATTATTTTATTTCACACTGAATAAAAAGTTTTCCGTGTGAGTGAAAATGCTATTTATATGTTGTTCTGATAATTTGGTAATGCTTATGTTGCTTACTCTCAGTAGATTATATCATTTTGTAAGAAATAAAGCACACATTTAGTAGATAGAATAGGTACAAAGCCTTTTTACTCCATTATGAAAATGTTACACATAGACATTTGTGTAAGGAGAATAAAGTAAATTGGTCATTTACTAATAAGACACCAAAAAAGCACAGTAGCAAAGAGAGGACAAATTGACGTTGTGTTTTCTTTTTCTTTCAGTGTCTACTATTTTTTTCTACAGAGCCATGCTCACCCACACCTTTCCTGCCACAGGTCATATTCACTGACACAAAAGGCGTGAGAAAACACCCACCTCAGCTTTCCAAAGTGTGACTTCGGGACACAGCTATTAGACAGAAACCTAAGCAGAGGAGCAAGGAAAGATAATGATGCAGGAAGCTTAAAATGCTGTGGGTTTCATTTCTGTACCATCAGTAACCTCAGTTTCATGATTCAACATTTTAGATGTAAATAATTTACAACAATAAAAGTGAGAGCACATTTATGTGGAATAGAAGTAAATAATTTAGTTCTAAAAAGCGGTATGCCCCTAGTAATGAGAAATCATTGAGAGGTATTCATCAAATGTCTTCAATGGATTCTGCAAATCTGTGAGACTTTGTAATTTAAAAATTTGTTTTCTTTATTTTGTTTCCAATGAGAAATTAAATAAGCATAGCTATGTGCATTGGAGAGGGGAGGGGGAACAGCAGAAGGAAAAACGCAGTGATGATGACTTAGGGCTCATTTTGACAGTTGACATGAGTGCCCACATCTCTGGAATTCTAAGATTTAAATGATATTTACCCCTGTCTGTTGATAAAAGACAGGATAATTCTCTAGGAATTTTTTTTACAAATAATGTATAAGCTTTATTTGACTTAAATTGGACTCTTGTAGTGCATGATCGGAATTAAAGAGTATCTGATAAGCTAATGAGTGATTTGACCAAGTTGACATTCTCAGTGAAATGGAGAATTAGAAATTATTTACCAAATGCTTTTGACAGAATTAAAGCACCACAATAAGGTGACACTCCTTTTTAGACTTTGTTCAGCCTTTCTGAACTTGTTTCCTTAACTCTAAAAATGGGACTGATAATAGTTCCTACTCATGTGGTTGTTGTGACGATTAAATAAGATGATGGTACCCCAAAGTGTTCAGTGCAAAGGCTTAGTATGTAGTATTTAAGAAATATTAGTATACTATATTTTAGCATGTTATTTTTACATAAATTTAATACTTTTTAAAAACTGTATGAAGTCATAAATATAGGCATTGCAGAGATCGTATTCTGATCCTCCGCTTTTCCACACATTAACTGTATGACCTTAGGCAGATTCTTTGCTAAGCCTCAGTTTCCTCGTAAGGATGTGTAATATAAGGATGGTGATAATAGTGAGGATGAAATAACACACATAAAGCACTGCACACAATGCCCGCCTCATAGTAAGCACTCAAAAAGAGTTGGTATGTGCCTGTGTGTATCTATTTGTATCCATATTATAATACGTGTACACTTTCACATACATGAGGAAAAGACTTGAAACAGCCTCTGTACCCACTTCCTAATCCACAATCCTTTACTAAGATGTTTTTCCTCCACATTACATATAATTCTCAAAACGCAGTTGTTCAATTTCCCGAGGCACAAAAGTTCACCAACACTAGATTGAAAAGAAACAGAAGCTGCTAAGAGCTGGCTCTGTGACAAGTGTGACTCTACAGCAGATTTATGGCACTCTGTAAGGCTGGAAGCTCTTTTAGGGCAAAGGCTGGTTGGTATTCTTTGCTGCAGTTAGTAAGTGCTTAATAAATGTGTGCTCAATTGAATTGAGAGATTTTTAACAAAGTATAAGGGATGTTTAAAATGATTCTCCCTCTTTTTAAAATTACATACATATCCATTTACAAATCTTTATTTGCCAAAATACATATAAACATAGAAAAATTTTATTAAATCATTTAAATAAAGGGACGTGTATAGAAATCTCAGAGATGTAGGCTACAAGTGGAAATGTTTGCTGTAATTACCTCTTATTTTCCTTTACATCTCAAAGTATAGACCTGCTATTAGCATTTTTATGATAGCATCTTTTCATAATTCTACCTGTGTTAAATTAACCCCCTTAACTAAAACCTCCCAGTGCCATTGGTCACGAGCATGAAGTCCTGCTGAGAGACTTGCTCCTGGAGAAAAACCTGTCCTTCCTAGGTAGGTATTGCTTACATCCTCTCTAGCGTGTAGTACCTCCATGAGTGCTTAAATATATATTTTTTAAAAATCTTCCACTTGCAGTTATTATGTACTAAGGAAGAGTGAACAATGATTGATGCCGTGCATGTTATCTTTTATTGATTTAGAACTAAGCAGGAACTCAGTTACCTAATCCCCTATATATACAGCACATGCACAGGCTTGCAATTAATATTTTATAGAATAAGTGGCTGAAAAAATTCTTTAATATCTGTTATAGTATTACTTTTGGTGTCATGAGATATTAACCATAATCTAGATCTTATGAGAAAGAGAAACAAAAGAAATATTGTGTATAAAATGCTTTATACATTAAAAACTATGGTTAGAAAAATTCATGTTAGGTACGTTTGTCTCATGTATGGAATCAGGTAGTACTGTAACTTAAAAGCCAAATATCAAGCTTTAATTATTTTTATGCTAAGCATTAATTGTCATCATAGACAATTCTATTTTGAAATATTCCTAATCATCATACAAAGAAGTTGTTAATTTAGTCTATGCATTTTAAACATTTTAATGTACTGCATTAATACAGGTTTACTTATGGTTAAAACATCAGTATTCAAAGTCTTTGTGAGGATGTGAGGGCGATCTGGCTGTGACATCTGTCAGCTCATTGATTACCAGGGTTGATTCGGCTGATCTGGCTGGCTAGGCGGGTGTCCCCTTCCTCCCTCACCACTCCATGTGTGTCCCTCCCAAAGATGCATACTCGTTTGGAGAGGACGACCTTCCCTGATAGAGGAGAGCACCATTCTTAGGTCAAGGATATACGAGTTAGCTGCACTCCCCTGCTAGAACCTCCAAACAAGCTCTCGAAGTCTTTGTGAAATATTGTGATGGATTTTTTTTTTTTACCTTGTAAATATCCCTTCACAATGATTAATTAGATCTAAAGTGCCAGGTAAATTGAGATAGATCATCATTTTAAATACAACTATAGAAAAATACTGATATATAAATAGACTGCTAATCTCATTTTATGTTTTCCTTGTTTTCTTGTTTACACGTGTACACCATGAATTTTGTTGCACAGATATTCCAAACATATTTGTTTTACTTTGATTCTTTTATAAGCAAAAATACAATCTCAATCTCACCCCCTCCCAATCTGGATTACTTTCAAAAGACAAGGATTCTTACTGTTTATACGTTAACCTTCTTAAAAATTATGACTTCTTTGAAATTTTTTATACCATTCTGAATTTTTCACCCATTGTGCTCTATGTTATTATATAAAATACATATTTTATCTGACCTCATATTACCAATAGAAGAAAAAATAAAAATCAATTACCTTTATCTTAACTCTAATAATTTCTTAAATTTCCTTGACATCATAGCAACTGCTATGGCACAATATTTAATCAGATACTACTGGGGAAAAAAAGTCCTTATCTTTGAAGATTTGAATGTGCTCATAAACTTATTCATTTTTTACTTCTACAAGTAGGTATATTGTATTGAGAAATCAAGTTGAATAAAAACTTTAGTTCCTCCAACTGAAAATATATATTTTATTCATCTATTTATTCATTTATTCCAAAAATAATTTACTGAGTCAGATACTATTTTAGGCGATAGACGTAAGTCAGATGAAGTCTCTGCTTTTGTGGAGTTATGTGCTAGTAGAGAGACAAGCTACAAATAGATGAATACAGATAACTTCTGGCAATTTCTTAGAGGTTTTGTAATTCTTTTATTTATTATTTATTCATTCTTTTAAACTAATTTGTGTTGAGTGTGTTCTCTACCAGCCAAGAACTAACTTCATAGTTAGTATGAAAATGATGATAAGCACTCTGCCCTTTGGATGCTTACAGCTATGCACACTGTTGCCATGTCCATCCAATAAAAATGCAGTTCCATCTCTCTAGTGCATCTCAGTAGGTGCTCACTTGATTATCTTGATGTTATTGTGCTACTTTTGTTAAACTTTTGAAAGAAAGGTATACATTATACTAAAAATTAATAGCTACCCTTTACATATGAAGAAAATGCTACTGGGTCATCAGCTGCTTTTCCTGATGTGGTGATAGAATTATCTTCTTCATCTGCTCTCTCTCACTAGCACCTTCCTGCCGCCATGTCCTTCTAAGATGGCTAGTTGAGTTCATCAGCTTGGCTGTGTTCCCACTAAGCTAGTCACTCTTTCTTTCATTGAGTAAGCATGCAGATATGAATCTTTTAATTCCTTGCTATGGGCAGGCCCGTTAGGGATGACAAAAATAAAAGTTGAATCAAACATGGAGCCTTCCAGGAAAATTTCAGATAAGTTTAAGTATATGTCCTTTCTTTCCAAGGATAGTTAATTTAGAATTAAGATTTATTGATCAGCGTTTAAAGTCTCAGAAGGTACAAAGAACCTGCTGTACACTTCTAGGTTCGGATGTACAAAGAACCCTTTTTAAATTTTAAATTGACCAATGAGCATTGCTAGAGGTTTGTTTTATTTCTAATATCAATGAAATAGAAAATATATTTTATCTACTGATGGAGATATTTTAATTCATATCAAGTGATTAAGGAGATCATGTTTTGTTATATCCTTTTTCCCTTCCTCCCTTCCCTCTTTTTTGGGAGGGGGGGTGTGGGCTGACAGTTTGGATGGAAAGCAAAGGAGGAAGGGTAGATAGTGACTGAGAAGATCAAGATTGTAAGGGAAAATATGAAAGAGCTTATATCAAAGGCTGAAGATAACCGTTCGTCCTCCATGGATTGGCATATCCCTAGGTCAGAAGGACTTTCATTAGTGACTTCCACAGCCACTGTCTGATGCAGATTCTTGTTAAGTTTGGATTAATAAGGATAGCTCTGGAGATATTCTTTGTGGTGAATGTTGCCCTGTTAGTCGAAGCTAACAATTATTTTGAGCGACACAGAGAGGTATTTGCTTTATCCCTACCTTACCCTTGCATGTTTGATCTTGCCTTAAGACAAACCTGCAGATTTTACATGAGTGCTTTTCTAGCATTCATGTTTTACTCTTTGGAACTCCAGGAGGGTATACTCTATAAAGCCAAATAAACTTAGTGAAGGATGTCCCTTATTGGAAGGAATTAGGATCTTTGTTACTAGCAGTTCATCTGCTCCTGCTGCTTTATTCCCCTCCTGAAGCAAAAGTGCTCTGCTGGGGGAGTGATTATGATGTGACAAACAGGATTATTACTTCAGGTGAAGAATAGGCAGTGGGAACAGATGAGATTTAGAATATGAAGATTGTGTTTACATGCAGATGTTAGCAGTAGAGAATAAGACTAGAAACGAAACATATGAGTGTATAGGCTAAAGGGAATTGAGATGGTGGGGTATCTCATAAGGCAGCAACTATTCATGTTCCTATCTACCTGAGGGTTAAAAATCAGACGCAATTTTCAGAGTAACAAGAACGTGATATTGGGGCCGAGACGTGGGTCCTGTTCTTCTCTTGAAGAAATTGTCATGATGAGGAACCATATTCACTCATTTCCCTTATTTAATATGCTTTTAAGTGTTTCTCCCTGGGACCAAGAGTAAAGAGCCATACACGTGTATACTGCTGGAAGACAACCTGCTGCTTGGAATTTTGAAGACAGGTTACCCTGTCCACTTATGATGGGAGCCTTTCTGCTCCAGGCCTTCGGCCCTTCCTTCCTTCACCATTGCTCTGGTTAAAAACTCATGTCTGCTCATTATGTGCTTTCCTGACTACCAATGGTATATTGGAACTATTTTGGTTGTAAGTGACAGAAATCTAATCAAACTAGATTAGACACACACAAAAGGAGAATTTATTTGTTTACCAATATACCTGGGAAACCCGAAAGAGAGAAGTTTGCTTCTGATGTGTCTGGAATCCAGAAGACAAAACTATGTCATTAAAGTCTCCTCTTTTCTCCTTTTTGTGTTCTCTTTGTTTGTTTGTTTGTTTGTTTGTTTTGTTTTTTCCCCCCAGTGTTGGCTTTATTCTTAAGCAATATAGGTGATCCCTAGCAGTTGCTAGTTTGTTTACTCCTTACAGCTCATAATCCCAGAGAAAAGTTGGTGATTCTCTTTTGTTCCATTATAAATCTCAGACAAGACTCTGGTCAGCTAGTTTGGGTCAGGTATCCACTCCTATGGCCAGTGGTTGAGCATCACATATTTACCATCTACCAAAATCACATTGTAAGAGTGAGGTGGCAATGCCAGAGGAAATGGGGTACAGGACAGAAAAATCAAATACTTTACTCACCTCACAGAAAATTAGCTACAGGTTTGAGCTTCTATTGTTAGTGTTATTGTCGGATTAGCTCCTTGGTCCTCTGTGTCTGTCTGTCTGTCTGTCTACCTTCTTCTCCTTATCCTCTCCCCACTCCTTCTCTCCCTTTCTCTCCTTTTGTCTCTCTCTCTCTATATATATATAGGAGATCCTTTGTCCTTTGTATGTTCCGGAACTGCAAATATGCCTCCCTCCATCAAGATTGCTTCTAGGAAAGATGAAGCTGGCCCTACAGAAGGGTCTGACATCAGAGGCTACAGTTAAAAGAACTGGGGCAGACAAAGGCTAACATTCAGCCATTCCTCAGAACTTTGGAGTTGCAAAGGACTCTAACAACCATCCAATGCACTCGTTTTGTTTAGAAAAAACTGACCAGGCTTTGCATTACAGCTAGTGTCCTCCCAACAGATTGTCTCGTATCCTTTTTATTCTACCGTGCCAATTCATCCTTTCTTTTATGACGTTAAACCAAAAGAATTGAGAGTGATATGGTATAAAATATAGACAAGTTTTATTTTTGTTGATATTCATGCACTCTGTCTTTACAACCACCAGTCGGCAGGGATCAGCCTACCCAGCCTTATTTTGCACTGTCCCAGCTTCGTGACCTCCCATTTGTTTCCTATCTTCAGGGCATTTTTCAATTTTTATTACTATTGTCCCCTAAAGACATAAGCAAAGGACAAGGTCAGAGCAGTCAGTTGTATTCCTTATTAGTGGCTTTGATAAGAGGCTTTGGAGGAAAAGGTTGAAACTAATGGCCATAATGAAATTTTGAGTACTCTAAAAATTTCATTTATTTGTGCTATTGGTCTCCTCATTAAATGCGTGTCTGTTCTGTGTATCTTTGCTCATGGTTTGCACATCATAGTAACATGTATTACTGAAACTTTGCAAACTTCTTAAATTGGGTAGAAAAGGCTGTGAAACTTATTTTTCAAGAACTAAAAAATATGATATACAGAGGTCATACATAGCTCCACATATTGAATGAGACAGTGTTTTGGGAAAAAAGATAAGTCAGTAAAACAAAATATTAAGGAGAAAAGATATATTGTAGTTTTCATTTGTATTGATGTATATCCTTTTTGCCCTTCCCCAATTTAGAAAAAATGTAATAGGTGTTATAAAGATTCTTTTTATTCATACAGTGTATTTTAACCTAGCATTTTAAAACCTTTTGACAAATTTATAGATAAAAGTCCATGCCAGAATGTTACTTTTTGTCTTCAGATGTCGTGAATTGGAATTTTACCTCATTTCTCTGGGATTAACTGTAGTTCTTAAATTTAAAGCCTTATATAAAGCAAATAAAAGCTCAAACTTTTTCTTGGTAGTCCTCATGCCCTCCTGTGATTCTTAAGTATATGTTAACTAGTTTCAGATGTGTTTTGTTCTCTGACTCAAAATCAGCCTTTTATTTTTAAAAAGAAATTGTGTAATTAGTACTTAATTGCTTTGGATATTTTGGGTATTTAGAGGAGAGGGTAATTAAAAGGCCAGAGAAATTAAACTTTCACAGTGTTCTTTAAGTATGTGTAATTTCTTTTTTTAAATGCCCTCTAAAAGCAGGCCTGACAACAAAAATAAATGAAGACCTGGGTTGTTTTTAGATTTTCACCATCAGTTTTATCTGTGGTTGCAGTTTTGTTGATTTTATTGTAGTTTAGTTGGAGAGAGGAGCATCTAGAAATCAAGAGATTATGTAGTTCATCTCTTCAGGCAGGTGTCATCTAAATAATATCCAACAGAAGGTCGTCACCTCTCCTTCAAGATCTTCAAGGAAGAAAATAAAAGTTTTTCCCCACTTCATAAATATTACAAATGATCAAATTTAAATATTTGCCATCATTAAAGATGGTGTACGGTATATTGGGACAAACTAGAACTTGGTGGATGTGGGCCCTTCCCTGTATCTTTAACTATTTGAGAGGGCTAGGTCTTGGTGGGTCACTTCTCCAGGCCACCTTTACACGTGTAAATTGGAGTGTTGGATCTGTAATCTCTAAAACTTTACCGGCTCAGCAACACTCAGTGTCATGAGGCTTTCATGGTCGAAAAATCTTACATTTTGTGGATTTAAAAGCTAAAAAGCCTGCTTTTAAGCAAGAATATTCTTATATTAATTTCAATAATGAACACTTGAATGATGATATTAACAAGCTTTGTAGTTATGTAATATATTGAGTGCTTTTAATATACACCTTAAACCAGAAGAGCCTTACTTTATATTTGCTACATTCACTAAATAAGGCAGGTATGAGATTTGGAGATTGATTTTATATTGATCCCCAACCATTTTAGAGAAGTTATACTAAAAATTCTATTCTAAAACATTGCCATTATGCACCCACCCACCCCCCTTTCTAACTAATATTGTTCTTACTTTTCTCTTGGTCACTTTTTCTTGAATTAAACAGCAATTTACTTAAACACCCAGTTTCCCACTTGGAAAATTCAAAGAATCATAAGTAACCATCTAGCCGAAATATGTACAAAGAGCTATAAGAACCTGCATGAAATTCTCAGGAAAAATATAAATTGCAATACTTTAGAAGAGATAAAAATCTAGATAGATTAGTAGCTGTAAAAGAAATCAGAAAGATAACCAAAGAGCTTCCCACCACAGTAGCACCAGACCAGATAGCTTTTTGTGAGAAATTCTGCCCAAACTCCAAGGAATGGATAAATCCAATGTTATTTAAAGAAATACTACAGATCAAAGAAAAAAGGAGGAAAACTTCCCATAAGTATCAAGGAAAAGGATGGAATTTCTTCCTTTATGATGAACCTCAGCAAACAGTTGGAACCAAGGATGAAAGACAGCAGCAAAAGTTATCAAATAAAACTTTGAACTTTGGGCCAGATCTGTTGTCTTTGCCTTGATTCATGGAGAGTTAAATCAGAAAATTATTGTCATTCTATGTAGGTTTTGTAGAAGACATGAATTTTTTTTAACATACTTGTATTTTATTTAGTTATCCTTTTTGAGCATTAAGTATGTGCAAAGCACATGTGTTGGTGGTGGTGAGACTGGGCCAATGAATAAAGTTTAAAAAATGGAAAGGAATCATTTCCTGTCCTCAGAGCAGAGGCTTCAGGCCCAATATTTGGGAGACAATCCCATACAAGGAAAGACAAGGGATGAACAGAGAATGAGGCTGAAGGGAAGAATGTGACCTGATGACTGAGTCATAACCACTAGATCCTAGAGGTGGAACCCTGAACCATCTAATGGTCAACCGAATTTTAAATTTGTACTCAGTGGTTTGGTTAATGATCTTAATGGTAAGGAATCTTTCAAGGTCTGGGGACCAGGAAGTCAAGCCAGATGGATGGGAGCTGACCTTAAAATTCTCCCAGTGGAATGATCAGCGATAGCAGCTTCTCCTAGGGCCTAGATCAGATGAGCAAAGCCACTTGTTCGTAAATGCTGCTTCCCATTCTTGTACTGTCATTTCCTTTGAACTTTGTCAAGTTGTTCCCTCCTCCTCTCTCAGTAAATCTAGGAGGAAAAAAATAATGTGAAGGTTGAAACAGGGTGCATAAGACAGTGGGAGTTTAGTAAATAAAGAAGATAGCTGATACATAACATAATATTTCAGATATATGGAATAACCTCTTTATATTTTTTTTAAAAAAGTCTAATATCACTAGTGGTGACATAGACTTTTAGAAGCTATACTTTGGGTAAAATTACTATTGGATCAACTTCATACTGAGAGGGAGGAAAGTGAGGTGGAGTAGGGGGAGAAAGCATAGGGGCACAGTGGCACTTTGAAGTTCTCCCCAGAAAGTTGAAAAGATTCCCTAGCCTCACCTGATGTTTTATGTTCAGGTTTGGTGGTTTGGGTTTTTAAATTTCACATGAAGTCATGAAATTTAAATTGTAGGTATTGTGTTAATAACTTTGGTGCAGTGAACAGGGGTACGGCATCTGCCTTTTAAAGGGATATTAGTGTGTACATTTGGATTGCTTGGTGACCTTTGAAATTTTGTTTTGAGCTGCTGTCAGAAACATAATCATTTTTCTTTCAAAACATATTTTAACATCTGCAAAGGTTGATCAGCCTAGGATAGTTTTAATAAAATATTAATCTCTTTTTAATGTCAACCCAACTTTTAAAACTGTTCATCAGGTACCTGAAACATGAGCTCAAGGCACTTGAGTTGATTTTAATAAATGCCTTTTCCATTTAACATTCTTGTGGCCAGAGTGCATTTAGAGGATAGAAATTATTCCAGTCTTTTCATCTGAAGTCTAGTTTTCCAAATTCTCTTGTTTTTAGAGTAAGATTACTTTAATTTGTATTTTCTTATCTCAATAGTTAACAACATTTTTTTATATTTCAAGGATGGGAGATTGTTCTGAATTCTGGCATCAAACCTTCAAAAGCTAGATAAACGATATCAACGCTTAATAAAATATAACAAATATCTAGTTTAAATATGAGTCTTGTCATTAAAAAGTTATTTACATTTAAAATGCTGACCTTTCAAGATACACCAAGAGTGTTCTCAAACAGAGTTTCTGAACATTGGCCATGAAACCACTGTCTTGGACTGACAAATGGATTGGAAATAAGCTACCCAACACTGGGAATGGGCCATTAATTTTAATCAAAGGTGATGCAGGAAGGCGAATGGGATGCATGACAATGTCAACAGCCCAGTAAGTGTTAAGAGACCACACAGCCTTCCTTGTTACTTGGCCGGGCCATTAGTTGAGGTTGGGTGAAGATAGAAAGCCATGTCTGGAATTGAATGACCAGGTCACTCCAAAATCTAATGGAGAACTCCTCATTTCAGAAATCACATTGTAATGCCATTAGAAGTCAAGGACAGCATTTAGAAAATATCGGAGAATTTTTTTTTTTTTTTAAACAAGCACTTACCTAGTTTTTTCCAACTTTGTCAAGCTCTCAGTTTTCTAGACCCTTTTCCTTCTGAATAGATCATTGATATTTACACGAGATCAAGAAATCAAACAGACTTAGAAAAAAATCTCAAATCCAGTTTGCTTTTCAGAATTATATATTATTAGTTGTAAAACTCTGGTAAATGCCAGAAACAATAGCATACCAAAGAATTTAAGTAGGATAATTAAGTTTCTGTGGTGATCTCATTGTCCTTGTACCTCTCTTGTGTTGTATGTAGGAATAGTTTCACTAATAGAAACTAAGCTTTCTTAATTGCTTTAATAAATGTATTTATTTTATAATCGTAAAGGCTATGTGCATGTGCCTTACTGTAAATTATTGATATTGCCTGATAACTTTAGTGATATTCATGGTAGCGAAGCCTTTTCTTTTAATCAGTAAGTATATTTCATTATTTTGAGTATTTTCAATTATAAAAAAGGTGGCATATGACAGCTTGAATTAATGTTTATAATAAAGATATAAAAATGCCGAAGAGACAAAGAAGCATTCTTATATCTATGCTTCAGGTTTATTAAGAAAGTTTATTCTGACACAGCATTACACACATAAGAAAGATATGTATGTCTGCATTAGCAATTTTTACACATTTTTAAGAAAGAAAAGCAATTATATTGCTCTCTTATTCATGGAATATTGTTATAAGTGATGGTGTTTGTTTTTCCCGTAGATGAAGATCAGCTCCGTGCAAAGGGTTATGATAAAACACCCGACTTTATTTTACAGGTACCAGTTGGTAAGTCCTTAAACTCTATTATGCACTTGTTTATAAAGAAAGATCTGTTTTTTTCATAGATTTTTTTGTTGTTGTTAACAAAGTACATTATCTTTATAATACTATATCTAAATGGGTAAAATTGTTGGAAAATATTATTTTAAAATAGCAGAAAATAATAGGTTCAGAAGAAATCTTAGCCTCAAAATCTTTTACATATATTTGAGAAATAAACATTGTCTCTGAAGACATTTCAAGTCATTTTTTTAAATACTGCATTTTTAAAATATGGTTGTATTGAAAAGCCAGACTCACTTTGGTTTGTTTTTGCATTGCTTGTCAACTTGTACAGCCTCAGAATAAGAAAGGGACTTTTGAAGATGATGATGAAAATAAAAGGGATGTGACTGTGGCATAAGTGTCCCTTGTAACAAACATATACAGTGTATTGTTTTATAATTACTTTCATAGATGAGGGTGAGGGCTAAACCTCTGCTCATTAATGTGAATCATACGGAGGCCTATACAGAGTTCAGAATTTTCAATCTTCCCTTTCCTTTGCTCTATATTAGTAATGCTTTGTCCCTTAGCTGTAGAAGGGCGCATAATTCACTGGATTGAAAGCAAAGCCTCATTTGGTGATGAATGTAGCCACCACGCCTACCTGCATGACCAGTTCTGGAGCTACTGGAATAGGTAAGGTCCCATTATTTTTCTCTTAAGATAAACGATAGTCAGCTGAAATCTCATTAGAAAAAATATTTAGTTTAACTGGTAAAAATGCTAGTAGCCTTTGTTTCTAGTAAATACAGAGACTTGATTAATGTATTCATTTTAGATAATTTAAACTTCTCTGCTTTCATAACGTCGCTTCATTTTTTAAAACTAAAAATCTCTGCATAAGGTCAAAATCAGTATATATGCCATTTTCCATTTTATACTGATAATATCAATGTCACTTAAAATATGAATAATAAGATGTGCATATTATGATATTGACACTGACTTTTATCCTTTTGATAAGAAATTTATGCTTACTGTCAGACCTTTAAAAAATATTTTATCCTTGCTTCTCTGAGGAGACTCTACAAACAGTATAAAAGATCAAAACAATTTACTTGCCAGCAGTAGAAAACAGCTTACCTACCAACTTCGGGCAACATTTCCAAAGGCATGGGAAATCTCAGTGATTTAGAAAAGGGTGGTGTTGAAGGAGGGGCCATATTATTGCCATACTATTAATGCCATATTACTGATTATCCACCATGTCCTTGGGTCTGCACATTATCTCAGTTAATCCTCGCAAGGAAGTTACTTTTATCCCTATTTTATAGATAACTAAACTGATATTCAAAGAGAAGAAATAGCATGCCATAGAGTCATCCTGGGCCTGTGTTTGTCTCTCTCACTTGCTTACCTGTGCTATATCCACGACAACTCTATTGCCATTTACAATAAAACAGTTGAAACTTGGGTTTTATATTATTAAAATCCCTAGTTTTCATAGCACACATTTTTCCCTTTAGAACAGGAGGTAGGTCAAGGGGTAACCTTCGTAGATTAATTGTGTTCCCCAGTCATTGGCCAACAGTTAGAATACAATAATAAGATGACATTGACCCAAATCATTAAGGAATGAGACAGTAGCATCTGTGGACAATAGTCTTATCCTGGGGAAAAAAAAACAGTGACAGGCTACAGAATTTGGCATTATATTGTTACTCAGCCTTACAAAAGGCCAGCAGACCTCGCCTGTAGCAGCTGTGCTAAACTAAGCCCACTTTTTGCCATGGTAACAATGATCATGACAAAATGCTGAATGTAATGGCTTTCTTGATTTTCTTGTGTAATTGTGCGTAGCATCCGAGCTTTACTTTACAGGGATGGAGGAGGAAAGTGCAAAATGTTTTAGAAATCATTGCTGCTTCAGCGTTTCCTGTCTTTTATTCAGCCATTATTCAAATTAGCAGTAATGTGGCAAATTGAATTTTCGATTTTTAGCAATTTGATGATGAGTTTGAAATAGTAAAGAAAGCATCATTTTTGATAGTATAGGAAAAGCAATGACAAGAAAATCAAATTGCATAAGTTTAGGTTGCTAAAGGATTTTAAAAAACTGATAAACTCGATCATTCTGCATTGAGACTATCTCCCTTCCTTTGGTACTGGTCAAGCCTTTTAACAGGAATAGTTGTAGAGCTTTCTTAAAAATCCCGTAAGCATATCTTCATTCTAAAACAACTCAGCAATTTTTTGAGTGCCTACTATGTGCCTAGTACTCACTATTTTAGCAGCTGATTAAATAATATAGTCATCTATATGATAGACCTATAGATTATTGATGTCGCTGGAGGGAGTCTAAGCAATGGATGGATAACTTAATACAGTTTCCTGTGGACTGGATTTGAGATTTTTGTGTTACATGCCACTTTTTACATTCTAATGATGTTTTACTTAACACTACTATTGATTTACATACCCTAAACACATACGCTAAATAATCCATTTAGGGTATATTATGTGATAAAAGAAAGACAACCTTGGTTTGGAATGTTCCAGATCATTCAAGGAGGAAATACTCTACACAGAAGTCACTGATGTTAACAGAAGTCACTGATGTTAACAAACGTCTGCAGAGGCCAAGAAATGCAAGCAGTGCTGATGTTCAGAACGAAAACACAGACATTTACTTGGATGTAAAACGCTGGTTATAATAACAATACAAACTTACCAGTGATGGAGCATTTTGACAAAACTTAGCCCATTTATGAAAGTATGAGATCCTACTCTTTTCATATTTTGATTCAGTGCAACTCATAGAGCAGTTGCTAAATCTCTTCAGAGTTGATAGAAATCATCCCTCCCAATTTAGGTAACTTTTCAAGGAGGCTTCTGGCTGGCATTGGGGCTAATTGCTTTATTTGTGTGATAAGCCTCTAGTTCACTTAAAAACTGTTATCTAATCGTCATACTATTTTTAGATTGGAGTTTACAATAAGCTGTTCAATTAATATTTGCAGAATCATGACCTTGTATAAACCCATTTTCCCACACTAACTACAGACCCTCCCTAATTTTTAGTTTAATATTTCTATGAGTTTTTTTTTTTTAATATAAATTGATATTGTTACTCAACCCTTCAGCAACTTTTAACAAAGTTGATCGCACCCTCCCTCTTTATTAAAATATCTTATCTTGGCTTCCAAGAGATATTCTGGGTTTCTTTCTGCCATACCATCAGCGTACTCAGTCTCCTTTGCTGGCTCTTCTTCCTCTTTCTAACTCTTGGCTTAGGGCTCTGGAACTCATTGTTCACCCTCTTCTCTTTTCTGTCTACATTCACTCCCTGGCTGTTTTTTGTTCTGTTTCGTTTTGTTTTGTTTTGTTTTGTTTTGTTTGAGATCTCATCAGAGACTGGTGCTTTATTTACTGTCTCTGTACTGGTATCTCCTAATTTTTACCTGCAGCCCTAATATTTCCTGAGTACAATTTTTCTTTTGCCTATCCAACTATATACTCAGTATCTGTTCTTGGATACCTAATAGGTATCTCATACTTAACATGTCTAAAATTAAACCCTTGATTCCCCCCCCAACCCACCCCATAAGTTTGTTATTCCCCCATTTCCTCCCAAACTCAACTAATAGCACTACAGTTTGCCAAAATACTCAATCCAAAAACCTAAATATTATCACCAGTCCATCAGCAGATCCTTTCAGCTCAATCTTCATCATGTCTCAAGTTGTGCCATTTATCACCACCTCACCTGCTGTCACCTCAGTGGCTGTCATCCATCTCTTGGACTATGGCTGTAGCTTCCAAACTGGTCTCCTTAGGTCAACTCTTGCACTTGTGTGATCAGTTTTTCCTACCCCAGTGAGAGCGACTCTTGGAAAATATAAATCAGGCTGTCACACTTCTCTGCTCAGAACTCCTCAGTGGCTTCCCATCAGGTGTAAAATAAAATCCAAACTCTTTACCATGACATCCAGAGCCAGGCATGATCTGCCTCTTTACCACCTTCAGTTCTTTTCACACCTACCTCTCTCCCCTCGCCTCACATTCTCTCCTCTTATACTTTTTCGGCCACACCGGCTTCCTTAGTCTTCTTAAATCTACACTGCTTGTTTCTACTTCAAGACCCTTACTCTGGCTAAGCCTTCTGCTTAGAATTTTCTTTGCTTGAATCTCCCCTTAGCGGAACTCTTTACAACGTTCAGGTTTCTGCTCATATTTTTCCTGTTCAGGGAGTCCTTCCCTGACCACTCAATCTAAATGGCATCACCCTTAGTCATCTCCCTCTCCTCACTTGGCTTTACTTCATGATACTTGCTTCTGTCTACATGAATGAATAGACTTTAGTTAGAAACATTTATATAAACACTAATTTGCTTGTTTGAATACAAGCCCTTAAAAGAGCTTTACCTTTTATATTGCTATTTCTAATTATTATATGTAGTGTACCCCTCATTCCTTCATAATCAAAGCTTTTCAAGAATTTTCCCTGGCTTAATTAACCTCAAAAATATTTTAATTTTTACAATGTAGTCAGAGATATTGACTACAGAATATAAGCTATCTTTTCTTCAAATAGGCCCCAATCCCAGGTATAAACCTTGATTAAATAGCTCCTCAAAACTCCACAGTCTCTAATTTTTATGGAGTTAAAGGAAATAAAGAGTGCCTCTGAGAAGCAGAATTTGGACCATAATATACCTAGCATCAAATTATATATACAATTGTATATTTGCTTATATATGTGTGTGTATATATATATCCCGTATACTTGAGGCTATATATACACAAATTATATAAAACAGTATATTTCCTTATGCAACCAGCACCAAAAAAAAAAAAAAAAAAAAAAGTCTTCTTATTCTACTTCTTTAGTCAAAAAAATTAGTTCTTTAACAATTTGACCTCTATTACTACATTTATTTTCATATTCCATTGGTGACAGGTAAAGAAAGAAACTAATTCTACAATCTGAGGCCAAATTACATACATAGGTTCCAACTTGAGACCTTTTAAAGAAGCAGGAACAGACATCTCTGCTCATTTTATTGGTTGGAAATCAAATGGGTCAATTTGAACAAAATTGAGTGACCCTAAATAGCAATGAGCCACATGCAGCTATACAGCACATAAGCAGTGCCCAACAACTACTGATCAAGAACCTGGCAATCTTAACTTCAAGGTCAGCCCTGCCGTGTGCCTTTCCAGGCTCATTCTGGCACCCGGTCAGTCATCAGTGGAATCTATTGAAAAGCAAAGTGCGCTTTGTAGATATACCTCTCTACTTCTGTCAAAGAAGATTTAAGCTTACTGACTGGAAAGAATAGGCAAAGTTTTGTTTGAACATGATTTTCCAGTTCAGTGATCCTTGAAGAGATGGAAGGAATTCGTCCTATTCCTGGATTTGAGTCCATGCCGTGTCACTTTCTTACCCCATGACTGAGAGCAACTTGCTTAACTTCCCTGAGCTTTTGTTTTCTTCTTAATAAAATGGATTAATAATACCTTCTTCTCCATATTGTTGTCAAGATCAGTTATTTAATACATATAAAGTACTTTCACAGTACCTGGCAGTCAACAAATATTAGTTCCCCTTTGTTTTTTTTTTCCTATATAACATTGTCTGATAAAATTCTCAGTCGGCATTTTTAATTGCCTTCTTTGCCAGATAAACCCCTACT